GTTTGCACGAAGTGGGGTTTTCTTTGCTCACGTAAGAACACAGGGCACGGGAGCCATCCGAGGCTAACGGCCTCTCTACTCATTGTTTCAACACTAAACTACGTTAATGGAGAGAGGAAAAATGGCAGGGATTGTTTCTGTTGTTTTGTCTCTTTTGAAGAAACCTGGTACGGACACCTAAATTGCTGTTTAGGCCTCTGAGAATGATTCATTTTGTGTCCTCAAGCAAGCCATTTATGGAATCTGTGTATTGGCTGAGTAAAGGACCGATCCTGAAGTTTTACTGATGGGTAAGGAAGACAATGTCTGAATGACTTAGAGAGCTTCCCAAAGGGAAAGTGGTACCAAAAGACTAAGTCTGACCCTCTTCATGCTGGCAAACAGGGTATTAACCCATCAGGGCCTGAGGAGTCTCTTAGGTCACCAGCCCGGCTCTCCCAGTTGGCAGATGGGAAACCTCAGGGACATAATTTTTGCCAAGGTCACAGGGTAAGGGAAAATGGAACTGAGCCCATAACCCAGGCTGTGTGGTCATCATTGTCTAAGAATGAATAAAGAGTTTTTAATCTGTGGTTAAATATGAGGCACAATAATACTCAGAACCGCTCTCCAGCTCCGCGTCCTAGGGAGCAGGGAGAAGATTTAAGGAAACATTACCAGTGAGTCCAGCAAAAGTTGCTCAGCGTATGAATTTGACTCAGCGATGTCACACTGAGGAAGGAGCCATCTCAGCAGCTCTGGAGCTGTTGACTCCAGACAGACCAAAGAGAGACAAGAGCCCCTCCCCACAGAGAGTTAAGAGTGAGAGAGGCAGGGAATCGCTGAGTCAGCGAAGCCGAGCTGAGGGCATGGCCGAGGAGGCCCATGGGAGCTGGCTGGCCTTGAACATAGCATAGAGGACATCACGGCTGAGCATCACAGCACCTATGTGTTTGTTTGTTTCTCTGAACCCAGGCTGCCGTTGTAGGAAGAGGGAACTCTTCCTCCACCTGTCTGGGACTCTACAGGGTAACAAAGAGTGGAATAACAAGAGACACACAAGAAGTTTGTTGGCATGTGTATATCACATACACATGGGGTACCCAAAAATGTGTGGCTCAAAGGGTTGTCTAGAACTTGAGTTCATTGGCATTTTAACAACAGAAAGGCAGGTTTTCGGTGATGGGACAAAATGAATGATGAAGTCTTTGGGCTTTCAGGGCAGCAGGTTTGGGGAATATATATATATATGTAATGGCACCTAAGGGTGAGGTGGTAAGATTTGCTCTCTAGAGTCCTTTACTAGGGACCCTGGAGGTGAGGGTCTGAGGGTCTTGGGGTGTCTCTTCCTTGGGGAAAGGTAGGAGACAGTGAAGGCTTTTTTATTTTGTTTTTTAATCCATTCTTAACCGTCTTCAGCTCAAAACAATCCTGATGTCCCAGTGATATGTTTGAGGGTAGCATACTCTACAGTCCTTCACTGTGCAGAGTTTCTCTGAGGGATTAAATCGCTGTGTCTGAAGCAGATGACCCCGTGGCTCCTGATTAGAGAAGCAGGGCTGGGATAGAGTTCGGGAATAGAGTGCTTGCCTCATGTGAGGCCCCAGGTTCAAGGCCCAGCACAGATAGATAATGAAGGACTGAGCAACCAGGAATGGATGTGGATGGTGGTTATGGTCCTGGCAGGAGAGAGGGAGTGGAGTGGGGTTGAGGGAAGGAGGAAGTCCAGCAGAGAAAAGGTGGGCATCTCTGACTGGTTCATGGACAGCTGAAGATCAATGAGAACTCAGGAGGAGCACTGGGCTTCCTGGACTCCAGGCCAGTTTCTAGCCTCAAAGCCAGACTCATGCCAAGACTGAAGGAGAGTGTATTCGGTGCTGTCAAATTGGAGAAGAGTGTCAAACTTGAGTACTTTCTAGAGAGTTCTCAGGGAGCTGAGTACTCAGAAAGGAGCTTTGGTTTTTTATTTTGCTTTTCAAGACAAGGTTTCTCTGTGTAGTTTTGGTGCCTGTCCTGGATCTTACTCTGTAGACTAGGCTGGCCTCGAACTCACAGAGATCCGCCTGGCTCTGCCTCCTGGGTGCTGGGATTAAAGGCATGCATCACTGCCACCCGGCTAGAAAGGAGCTTTGGGAACAAGTATAATCTACTTCTGCAAAGAACTCTATCCGTGAGACAAAGTGATTTGAGGCCTACAGGATCTAGACTTCATAACAAGTGATAGCAATATTTGCTCAATTGCTCTTATGTATATGAAATATAATAAGCATGTTTTTCATCTCAACCTCAACACACTCTTTGAATAAAATAGTGTTCCCATTTCACAGACGAGGAGACTGAGATTTACAGACAGTTCAGTCAGGAGCCTAAAACAATCTAGTCCATCATCAGCAACACATAGATTCCAATTCAATTCTCATTCCAAAATTGAAATGTAGTCATTATACTACAAAGAGGGCTGTGGCCTCTTGGGGAGGAACAATAGGGGTTAGTTCACTCAGGAGACGTCAATACCCATGCACAACAGCAGAGTTTAAGTTCAGAATTCCAGTGGCTGCTGGGCTTTGGACAGAGGCCAGTGAAAGAGTGGGGACCTTACATGTGAGGACTCTGGGCATGAGATCTGGTTTGAGTTTTTCCTTGAAGTGACACCAATTCTGAGTTTTCTCTGTGAATCTGCCTCTCTGTCCTGGGCTCCTCATCAGGATTGCAAGCTGATGGGGGGGTGGGGGGTGGGGGAGGCAGAAGAAAGAGCAAAAATGAGATTATAAAATAGGATGGGCATGGGAGGAAGGGGTGAATATCAGGGAGTAAGCGTGCCTGGCATGGTCCCATTTCAGAGCAGTCTCTATCTTAGGGCTTTATTTCTCAAATCCTCCTTCGGGGGTGCAGAAGGACGCGGTAGGATCAGATAGGAGCGCCTGGGCTCAGGTGGCCAGTCAAGGCTGTAGATATTTGCTCAGGTAGAAAATAAGAGCCGTTAGTGAAGAGACAGCAGACTCGAAGCTATGGGATCTGTCCGGGCAGGGAGAGCAGATGGGAGTCTGCGGATCTGTCACATTATCCTCATCAGAAGAAAGCAAACGTGCTTCCAGAAAACAAGCCAGGCTAAAGAGCTTGGAGCCTTGGCAAAAATGACAATTTAGTGGGTTCTGGGCGACACATCTTGGCCTCTAGGAAGCTAAGCAAGTCCTCAGAGAGAGCCCCAAACCAGCCAGACCACCATTCCATGTGTGCTCCATCTCTCCCCTTCTCCGTGTGGGTAGCAGGACTAGCCACAAGAGGGCAGTGCAGGCCATGAATTTTACCAGGTTGATCCCCCCCCCCCTCAGAGGGTTGAGTTCTCTAGACGGGTGTCTTAGAGCCAGGTAGAAAATGGCCTGAGCAAAATGACGTTGAGTTCTTCAGTGCTGCTCTGAACGTTCTAATTCTCCAGGCCGTGTGGCGTCTGGAGTCTGGGCCTTTAACACATATGATATGGGAACAGTTTTCCCCAGAGAATGCAAACTCTTCTTATACTGAGGTGACTAATACCTCTTAACGTGTTTTATTGGGAAAATAGATCGGGTATTAATGGTTATTGGAAGCATATGGTGGTTTCAAAAAATAATAATAATAAAAAAGCGGGGCAAATACCGCTTAGTTCAAATGACAGGATGTCAGCAGCACCAAGAGCTCCACCCCATTTCCTGTCTCCTCCACGGGGAACTTCAATCCTGGGTTTTGTGAGAATTGCCGCCTCTTTCCCTTCTAAGGTGAACACCTCCACTGTTATGTACATTACTCAACTCAGAGCATTTGATGAAGGAATTTTTATTTTTTATTTTTAGTTTACAGTATCTTTGTGAGACTCAACCACACAGAGACACGTGTTTCTGGTCCATTGCCTTCTTCCAATGAGCCTATACGCTTTATCTCTTCTGTTGATAGACATTTGGGAAGTTTCCAACTTTTGCCTCCACCCCGTCCTGCTTCCTCGTAGGAACAATGCTGCCATAAACAATCTTGTACCTAAGAACTGATTTTGATAAAAAAAAAAAAAAGAAAAAGAAGAAGAAGAAGAAAAGAAAGAAAGAAAAAACGAGTTTGCTATTCAGCGATCTTTTTAAAAGACAATGATAAATTTGACATGAATATGAAAATGATAAATTCCCCCCTCCCCAATCAATACTTGGAGACTGAACCCAGGGCCTCGTCCATGGTAGGCAAGCTCTCTACCACCGACTGCATCTGATGACATCCCTAGACCTCAGGACTTCCTTTTTAAATATTCTGGGAAGGCAACCCCCACACTGGAATATTTGTAACATGTTTAATTGATGAGGGACCAATATACAGAACATACAAGAAAAAGATAGACATCACAGTCGGGAAAAAAATGAGTGACCACATTCACCCCACAAACAAGGAAAGCTAGATAGTTGCCCCAATTATTAACAGATGCCAACCTCATTACTCACCAGGGAGATGCCAGCTCAGAGCTTACAGGCAGGTGGCATGGAAGAATCAGCCAATACCAAGTGTTGTTGAGGTTAGGGAATAACAGAAACTTACTCATTGCAAACTTGATACAATCCATACCATCTAACTATGCACGTCTCAGAAGCCCTGTGTGGAGAGCTGAAGTGCGGCTAGGGAGGGCAGCGTGTGTGTGTGTGTGTGTGTGTGTGTGTGTGTGTGTGTGTGTGTGTGTGTGTGTAACCCACGCGAAGCTTAGCCTTTCTGGTCCACCTGGATGCTGTGGGTCACCAGGACTAAGTGGGAGAAAAGCTAGATGCAGCGCAGAGAGTGAGGCCAGCCCTGGAGGGACCTCATCTTACCATGGAGGAGCTTCAGAGAACAGCAGCCCTGCCTCCACCCTCCTAAATCCTGTTCCTGTTCCTCTTTTGGCCCCTTCTAGCCAGAAACATACAAGAAAGGGGATGCGGAGAATGTGGTTTCTGCTGTATTAGTTTCCTGTGACTGCTGTAACAAATCACGCAAACTTAATGGCTTAAAATGCAACTTTATTACTTTTACAGTTCATCGGGTTAGAAGATTGAAGCGGGATGGTGCTGGGCTGAAATCCAGGTGCTGGCAGAAGCATCCTCCGTCTCCAAGCGCCGCAGCAGAACCTACTTCCTCCTTGCTTGATCAGTTTCCAGGTGCCGTCTGAATTCTTGGCTCCGGCTCCTCCACTGTCTTTAAAGTGCATCACTGGCCCTCCGCTTCTGCGGGCCTCTCTCCTCCTGTCTGAGCTTGATTTTCCCGACCCCCCTGCTCCAGGGTGTCTTACGATTGCACAAGGCTCACACGGATAATCTAGGATAATGTCCTCATTTCAGAATTCTTAATTGCATTTGCTGAATCCCTTTACCAGGTAAAGCAACGTAGTCACGGGTTCTAGAAATGAGAATGTGGGCACGTTTGGGGGCCTTGTTTTTCGGTCTACTATAATCTGCACGTCTAATCGGACAGCCGCACAGGGCAGCGATCTTTCCCCCAGCAGATGGGAGTCTTTCTCGCTGCTTTTCAATGCGCTCACCTGGGTCCTCATAAAGCCCACGATCCTCTCCTCTCAGGCATGAGCTCTGTTCGTACCTGACGGATTCTGTGACTTATCAGGTGTCTCTGGCCTTTCTTTTCTCTCTCAGGCTCTTCTGTTGCTGCTGCTCGGTCTCATCTACCTCCATTCTGAGGGTCTGGAAAATCCTTCTGACATAGTTTAGTCGAAGGCCTTCTTTCTTCCTTCATGACCCTGCTTGTTAAACTCACTCTCTTTTTTGATGGCTTGGGAAGATGAAGCGAAACTATACTACACATGTATGTCATTGCCAAAGAATAAAGGACAAAAAAATAAAACTGTTAGCTCCATATACTTGAAATCGGAATGCTCTATATTCTTGTCTTTTTGTAAACAATAAATTGAATTTTTTTTAATATATTGAAGTTAGAAAACACATACTCTGATAAAGACCACTGAAGATTATTTTTAAAAGACCTTATCTAAGAACAGATTTCCTTGAAATCGTTCTTAAAATATGACTCGGCACAGAACTTCAAAGCCTAGAAATAAAATTGGATATAAGAATGATATGGCTAGGATATTCCTCAATTATGGTGAGTAATGAAGTTGCATGTTTAGCGTTGAGACATTTTCTTAGTGGGAATATTAGTTACAAATATCTGATTTAGAGATTCCCCAAGTAGTCTGATCTCAGCTTGCCCTTTGGGTGTCCCGTATTTGGCTCAACTTCATTCCAAATAAAGAATTCAGACTGTCAACCACATTAAAGGAATCCCCTGGACCACCCACCTCTGAGCTTCTGCTTACACCCCCCCAACCAACCACCATTTGAAGTGTTTGCCTAGCATGTGGCCATCTTTGTGGTCATAACTTTCAACCCTCTATTTCTGTATTCTTTTTGTGGAGAGAAAAAAATCTGAATTTCAAGTAGAAAATACCCTTTAAACAAAACTTACCCGCTGCATTTGGGCAACAGACCACAGACCACCTGGAGAGCCTTCAAAGACCAAAATTTCAAAAACTTGTCATTTGGAGCAGAAAAAGAATTATGGTGTCTTAGCTTGAGAAGGAAGGAGAAGATGCCTGATACAACCCCCTCCCGGGAACTGCCTTAGCGTGATTAATCGTGGGACCGAGATGTGAGTGAGGCTTGCTTGCCTGCCAGGGACAATGGTGTCACACTCCTCCTTGCATTTACTCTCTGTCCCTCCGTGACCCGGATAAAGTCAAGCACCTTGTGGGCACTTCTGTGACTTTAAAAATCATCTCTTGAAGTTCATGACATTACAGAGTCTCGAGAGACCTCGTGGTATCACACCCAACATTCTGCCACCTCCTATGTCCTTACCTCCTAACCTGCTACTTAACTGCTCCACCAGCACGTAACCCCAACCCTGACCCCTGGTCCTTGAACTCTATACACTTGGTGTCAGACCCCCCTGCCCACACAGAGACACTGGTGACCCTTTGAGTATTTTCCCCAACAAGAATGAGACCTTTACTAGAAGGAATCTACCTGTCAGTGTTGACAGTCTAGAAAGGGTTTATAAACAAGACTAGAGAACAGAGTCCACACTCGAAACTCCAGGCAGTCCATGCCAAACGGTTTCCCGTCAACACATCATCCTTTAAGGAGTTCAACAAGCCTTCCTGCGTCCTATCCTCTCTGTGTGCTGCAGGCAGAGTAAGCTGCTTGCTCTCTTTTGTTTTCTTTTCCGGTCTTAGGAATCGCCTCTTCTCTATTAACTGAAAGTTCCGGTCTCACTGTTCTTTCTTGTTATACGTACATATTCAAAAAGAAAATTTTCTACTGCTGGGGTTTTAATCCGTTTTCATCTGTTATCAGAAAAGGCAAGGTTGCAAAGAACTGTTTGTCTGTTTCTCACTCTGAGAAACCAATAGGTTCCTATGATTAAAAAAAATGGCTTCTCATCATTTTTTTTGAACAGTTGCAAGTATATGCGTGTTTTATGAACCAATCAGCAAGCTCCTGGAGTCTTTCTTATATTTCCTTTTAATTTCTACCTTCCGTCTAGCAGGCAGCCATCCTCGCCATCTTCTTGCTTTAGAATGAATTTATAGGGATCATTAATCTTTGCAAGACCGCTTCCAGTTAAATCAAACAAAACAGAGCACCATCTTAGGACACATGATATGGTTGGTCACGTGGACTTAAAGTGTGAGAGTCTGTCTTCAGGACTGTGGGCATGCTACTGAATTTGCTTAATTTTCCTAGTTTCTTTGTAAAGTGAATACACTGATCATTGCTTGGTATGGGCCCGCTGTGAGAATCAAATCTGATTGGGCATGATAAGTGTGGTAATTGGAATGTAATTGGCCCCGATAATCCCATAGGGGGTGGCACTATTAGGAGGTGTGGCTTTGTTGGAGTAGGTGTGGCCTTATTGGAGGAAGTGTGTCACTGTGGGGGTGGGCTTTGAGATTTCCTATGCTCGGGATACCACCCAGTGTCTCTGTCAACTTCCCATTGCCTGCAAGATGTAGGACTCTCAGCTACTCCTCCAGCACCACGCCTGCCTGTCCACCACCACGTCTGCCTGTCCACCACCACGCCCCCTGTCATGATGATAATGGACTGAACCTCTGAAGCTGTAAGCGAGCCTCCTCAATTAAATGTTTCCCTTATAAGAGCTGCTGTGGTCATGGTGTCTCTTCCTAGCAATAGCGACCCTAAGACAGGAACGCTCCATGGAGACTGCGGAACATCTAATAATATTAAGATGTCAAGTCAGCATAAAGCCAAGAATATAAGTGCTAAATGGGGTGTGGAAGGAAGAACAGATCTTGAGATAACTTCTGTGGCATCGGGTTTCAAATCCTGCCAGCTCAATATTCCATTTTGCTTCTCTCCAACAGTGTTCTTGGTCTATAATATAACAACGGACATAGCCTGGGTCAGCTGGATAAGTTAGAACAAGAAGCTTGAACTTAGTCCTCTTGAAAGACGGTCTCACCATCCGTGAGTTATTTAGGAGTGATCTGTTTGGCTTTCCCAATGTGAGCTCCAAGCTCACCCATGCAGCTTGTGTCTTTTCCCTGCTTCCCCAGCCTTGCTTGGGCAGTGCTCTGGTGGTGCCTAGACACACAATCTGAACGGCCATGCTGGGTAATTCAGATCTCAGCAAATATTTGTCCCTGTGACCCAACTCCAGTCTCCCAAGGTTCCCTGTATATTCCTGTTGTCTATCCTAAGACAGAAGACTGCCAGATTTAGTTAGGAACTCAGCAAGGATAGGCATGCCAGTGTCCTAGTTGTGGGGTAGGGCTGGGTTGAATCTAAAATCCCCTACTCTCCTGTTAGTTGCTAGATTATGGGGTAATCTGTTGTGGAATATGACTTTAACTAGGCAAAGATGTGTTACATTTGTTTATGTTGCATTTGTTTAACTATGTAAAGATGTGTTACATTTGTTTATGCTACATTTGTTTAATGATGTAAAGATGTGTTGCTTTGCCTGCCTAAGGCACCTGATTGGTCTAATAAAATGCTGAACAGCCAATAGGTAGGCAGTAGAGGGATAGAAAGGGCTGGTGGGCAGAAAGAATAAGTAGAAGGAGGATTCTAAGCTTGAGAGAAGAGAGAGAATGAGGGAGAAAAAGAGGGAGACCCCTGGGGCCAGTCAGCCATAGCCATCAGCCAGCCAGACACAGAAGAAGCAGGAAAGTAGGACATACAGAATCAAAGAAAGGTAAAAAGTCAGAGGCAAAACATAGAAGAAGAGAAACAGGTTAAAATAAGTTATACGAGCCAGTAGGACAAGCATAAGTTAAGGCTGAGCATTCATAACTAATATTAAGTCTGAATGTCTTGATTTGGGAGCTGGTTGGTGGTCCAAGAGAGAGCCTGCTACAGTAACCCAAGTGTGGTGGTATTGTGTTCCCCAAAATATTGTGCACCCTAATAAACTTATCTGGGGTCAGAGACAGAACAGCCACTAGATACAAAGGCTAGAAAATGGTGGCACTCACACCTTTAATCCTAGCATTCCAGAGGTAGAAACCCGTGTGTTCAAGGATACAGCCAAGCACGGTGCCTCACGCCTTTAATCCCAGAAAGTAAGCCTTTAATCCCAGGGAGTAGTGGTAGAAAGCAGAAAGGTATATAAGGCATGAGGACCAGAAACTAGAAGCATTTGGCCTGGTTAAGCATTTGGCCTGGTTAAGCATTCAGGTTTTGAGCAGCACAGTTCAGCTGAGAGCCATTGAGATGAAGACGCAGAGGCTTCCAGTCTGAGGAAACAAGACCAGCTGAGAAGTTGGCCAGGTGAGGTAGCTGTGGCTTGTTCTGTCTCTCTGATCTTCCAGTTCACCCCAATACCTGCCTCAGGTTTGTTTTTATTAATAAGAACTTTTAAGATTCCTGTTACACCCAAGTAGAAAGAAAAAGAAGGGGGAAGGAGATTAGAATTTTTAGGAAACTGGGGCCAGCAGCTGTGTGCTAAGTAGAGGGAAGTATTTTGGTATCTGTCTTGGAGTGCATCTCTGAAGTCACATAGGCCTCCTGGAGCCTTTTATTTGATTTCCCAACATGTTCTCTTGTATTCACATCAACAAAACTTTATTAGTCAGCTACTGTGAGCAAGCAGTGCTGGAGTCTATAGCAGGTCCAGAGAACCAAGGAGCTTCGGGCTTTAAGGGGGGCAGAAATGAATAAAGCTATTACCCGAGGGAATCCAGGAATTCGGGAGAACAAACGGGAGGCATGGTGGGTCAGGGAACACCCCAGACTTCTGTGGAGATAGGCACAAAGAGCTGGATAAAACATGTTCCTATGAGGAAAAAAAAAGTACCTTTGTACATTTAGTAAATGTACAAATAATAAAAGAAAGCAGAGGGCATAGCATTGGAGGGCCATGCAAATGGGAATAAGGGAAGGTCGTTTCTAACTTTTCTTAAAATCAGATTTTATGGTAATGCTGCAAATGTAAGCTTTTCAGTTAAGGCAGAACCATGAAGTGGGATGCAGAACATCTTGGCAGGACAGGACTCTAGGAACACAGGTTGGGAATCATTGGTTGAAAGGTCCTGGATAACCAACTTGTGACTAGTTTCTTCATTTCAGCATGCCCAAATGCAAGACTTTCTATTCATAGACCCTCACGAGGCAGTTTGGTTAGTGTCTAAGTAAAACTCAGAGCAACTATTCCATTGCCAATGAGCCAAACAGACTGGACCAATTTACACATTTTCTCCAATATTAACTGTATGGTGAATGAAATCACAACCAGGAACTACTTTATTAATTTACTATGAGAAATCATGTTTGGTGGTCTGAAAACATTCAAGATTTGAATTATTAACATTGTCTGTGGTGAAATATTGTGTCCCCCAGTATAT